AAGAGGTTTGTAAAAGCAAGTTTTTATGCCTACAATAACTATTCAACGCGGACGAAGTCACTGACACAGCTAGTTTTACGTAAATTGATTTCTTTGTGAAGCCAAGTGTATAAACTCGGATTTGCAGATTTAAATAAAGAATTTTAAAAATCTGTCAGAAGGACATTTTGTATTCGTATATATGCTTACTATATAGATTCCAGTTTTTCGTGACGTTTACTACGCAAAACGTTGTTCTTTCTTACGAAAACAAGGAAATTATATTTTTTCAAAAGAATTTTATCGTTAAACAAAATATTACGTTGTTAAAATATTGTCTTAATTTATTTTACAGCTACTGAAATTTAAAATACTGTATCGAAAGCTCAGAGGCGATTTTTAATTAATTCCGTGGTTTTCGGGTATAATCTTACTTTGCTCTTTCCGAATCGCTCTGTTTATCAAAATTATGTAAAAAAAACCGTTAAGATGGTTAATTAAAATTGTGCTTGGAATTTATACTTCTTACTAAATAAAAATGTTTTACATTTAACAAACTGATGATACATGAACTCAAAGGTATAAACAACTGTATTTAGTTGTAGACACTCGAATGTATGACGATCGTTGATACTCGTAACTGCAAAGTTCCTACGCGCTGTCATTAGTCAGTCTTATACATATAAAATGCAGTGTTTACCACGCATTTTAATCAAACGATTTTTAAACAAATATAATTTGTTTAAAAATGAACTTTTTTTTTAATTTCACAACAATAAGTATACAGAAAAGGTAAGCTTGATTTAAATTAAATTGAATATCACATCCTCTATGACTTGGGCCCGTCCATTCTTTTCAAATCCAATGCATATTTTTAAATGCGAAAAATCTCAATCATTATCCTTTCGTATATTTTCGGAATTGAAGTTACAAAGACGCAAATAGGTCGCTTTATTTTGGATTGAGGCCTTTTTTAACCGGACCCATTACAAACACAATAGGCACCCTTGATGAGAGTACTTGGTGTATACATTTTTGGATCTGGCAATTGCACCTAGCGTTATCGAGGTTCTTTTGCGAGTCCATCCAGGGCATGAGATTCGTAATATAAAAAGGGAACGACCACTAAAGCTGCCAGGTTTTTGTGAGTGCAATAAAACCTAGCACAAAGTACCTACCCTATATATATAATTTATGTAATTAAACATTGTATTTTACAAGAGTAGTACACATTTAAAATCAACACTTATAACGGTTTAAAACGCGAAATATATTAGCAGTGACTATTTCTGCGAATCATCTGAAACGTCGGCTTTTGACAAAAATTACAAATGATCTAATAATTTCCTGTTTTAAACCGACGTAAAGCAATTCACGTAACTACTTCTTGTTGACAAATATTTATATATTTATCAACAAGAAGTATTGATATACTAATTAGATCTTAAAGCATCTTTTCTTTTTTTTATTATTGTAACTTTTTGTCGATGGGGGGGGGGGGTGTATATGGCTTAGTTTAGTTAAGCTTGGAAGATATTCATGGTGGGATAAAAAGAGGAAATACTTGAAACTTTACTTAATGCCATATGCCACTGTTCTTCAAGAATCTTATATTTTTTTATTTTTGAGCTTAATTGCCGCATCCATATTTCGTCTTCCATGACCCCTGATTCATTAAGTTGGTTAACGTTTAATTCTAGTTGGCAAGTTAATGAGACGTCGCGATGGCAGTTTTTAATTTTGTATCCTATTCCCTTAGAGCCCTTTATTTAAAGCTTGGAGGCTAAGGCCTTTATTTCATAAAAAAATCAAATCAAACATCACATATGGAAACTTATATAACTGAAAATATTTTGAATAAAAAAAAACGTTATAAATTGGTAAATTAATTTTTGACATATAAAAATTAAACTAGGTAACAGATTTTTTACCTTATATCAAATATAAAAATCACTACGAATTGTCTTAAAAGTAATTATATTTTTTTGTAAATTGCTAAATGCACAAGGAGGCCTGGATTTGAATCCCGATATAACATATTTTTGCGGTCCGTCAGGGCAGTAGAAGTCTGATCCTGAATTGAAAGGACACAAATGTGTTCGCATGTCCCACAGGAAAACGGTAGTTCCGTTAAATCTTAATATTTTAAGGTATTTATAATTAGCTATAATTTATAATTATAGAAAAGATTCTTTCTTGAATTTGTATGTATTTTTATTAACATTAAATGTGCGCCTATAGTGAGTAGACTCATTTCTCTGTGTGTAACTCCTTCTTCAATTAAATAAAATCAAGTCCTTTATTCCACACACAAAAACACCAAAAGACGATAATGTATATGCCACATATGAAAATACGTGTACATGAGACAAAATTACTTACATTACATAAAATAAGAAAAGGTTAAAAGGAAAATAGCAAAAACACTGTTTTTTTTATATAAATATTTTTTTAAATAAGTGTTTGATTTAAAAAATAAACACTGTACGCGAGTAGTAGACATTTAAATAAAACACTTTAACGGTTTAAAACGCTATATATTGGTTAAACTTATTTGAAAATGATTTTCAACTTCGGCCCGACGTGTCGGATGCTTTGCAGCAGCCGTGGTCACGGGCACTAATATATCGCGTTTTAGACCGTTAAAGTGTTTTATTTATGTTTGTTTTTGAACGTGGACATTATAATTTCGAAAGACTATATTTTTAAATTAATGTGATTATAAACAACAGACAACACTTACAAACTTCTTTGTCACTTAATTAAAATAACGGTCAATCGATTATCAGGTATAGATATTTATAGTGAGCTAAAACACTAAAAGGCTTACTAAGGCTGTGCAGACCACGGGTTGAGTGGCCAACTGTAATTGCATTCGATCTACTCAGCTGGAGGTATGGGCTATCATCTCATACGCATAGCGTGTACATAAATGAATAGAGTAAATAATTCATATTGACGAACTCGTTTATGTATGGCCAATAATCAGCGACCACGAGGTTTCAGTCTACATCGGGTGGTCCAACATTTTTCGAATGAATTTATAATTTTTCTGAAACATGTCTGGAAATCTGGATATTTAATAGGTGGTCGGAATATCTAAATTCTGTCTGAGGCACAGCGTTTTTCATCTGTGGATAGTGTACCGTTTCGGTTTTACTCTGTGGATTTCCGAATATCCATAGCCGAAATAGTTTGACAACGAAATCTTTGACTTTATTATTTTTTACATGTTATTGCACATGAAGGCACTATATAATTTAAAAATCGAATGTAATTGAAAAAAATTTCGACTCGGGCAAGACTTGAACCGGCTCAATTGGTAGAGCAATAGAACGAAATCTTGTCTAAAAGTTATATGGCCGGGGTATGTCACCTACCATCAAGTGGTAATGGTAATATAGCAAATATTTGTATGTCATAATGTACTTACAATTATTTTGGTCGTAACTAAATGAAAATTTTACAAAAACAATCTAGAAAGATTAACACATTTACGAAAACATAACGGTAGTCAGCGCTTATTTTATTTAAAACTGTTGACCTTCGACTTAGTTCATACTTGTGCTCTTATGCCATTCATTTATTTATTTATTATTTCGGATTAATTCTATAAGACTCTACTTGAATGAGTTTTTATTGCATTTTAGAATATAATATCTATGACGGCAGGAGTCGAACCCACGACCTTTTCGAGTTTAGAGTGGCGCTTTATCACTTGTGTCACCTCATCCTCTCGCGCCATCTACTTACGATGACTTGAAAATAATAATTTAATTTTAACATAAATAAGTCAACGCAACTTTGATGCGAATTATTACTTTTAATTTAGTTAGGCCAGGCTAAAATCAAAATAACGTCCCAAACACGCAATCAGTAGTAAATCAGTTCATTAAACAACCTTTTGTGGGTCTAAAGCTTCAACTATAATACAGAAGTCAAGAGAAATTGATCTATATAGCTCGTGCTTAGGATTGAAAACCGCGTGATAAAATTATACGCCTTCAGATAGATAATAGCAAAGTTTGTTATATTCGCGTTGCTATTAATTATACGCGTGATACTTTTAATTAAAACCAGTTATTAATAGGGTTAGCTTTTTATTACCGTACTCTATTTTTTAAATAGACATTTCCGCAACCATAAAATGTTTCCAAACCCCTGTAGAAACATTTTCTGTCCCAAATATTGAGCGAATAAAATTGATTATGATTGAAGTTTGAGTTTTCGGTCATACAGAAAATCATTTATATATCTAACACGCGGCAACGTGGCAAGCCGAATTTAAACATAGGAGCTGGCTACGCAGCGCAAGTGTATCTTTAAATTAGCCAAATGAACTTTTTATGAATGTTTAGTACAAGGTTTTTTAATAATTTGTATAAAATAATTTATTAACATTTTATACAAATTATTTAAAAAAAAAATTTAATTCAAGTGTAAGTTAGTTTAAATTTTATGTTTGATTTTTTTGGTTTCTTCATTTATTTTTTTAGATATAATAAATACACTTTCTGTAACACTAAAATTTAAAGACCATCTGAATTGTCTTCTTTCATTTATATTCATAATCTGTGGTTTAATCTCATAGCTCTGTATGTCATGAAGTGAATTTTAGCTGCTAAGCGAATTGTTTAATACTGAATCGACACAAATTAAACCATCTACTAGCGTGCTATAATTCCGGAGCTATCCCTGTTTATTGTTATTGGTCATTTAGCAGGACAATTCTAGTCGTCTGAATATACTAGGCTCGCACAACATAGCTTCATAACAATAACTCGTCTTATCGCTAAGTCGCGAACTCCATCGAAGTTTGTCCCAGAGGTCTATACGGCTTACTTGACGAACTTTCTCGGGACTTGACAAGAATTTATAAGAAATTATTGTTCGCGAAACGTTGGGGAATTAATGAAAGTTTTTCTTGTTAATTCTAATGACGCGATAGATTCACTATACGTTGCAGATGAAATAATGAAAATTTACTCTACAGACAGCAGGATTTGAACCCAAAGTATTGGTCAATAGTAGTTAGGATTCGAGAGTTCTGGCTCACTCGTCGGGGCCCGTCGCTGGGGACCCCCTGGTGGGTCCTCGAATCGCGATCGCAGTGGAATCGCTGGGGGACCCCCCCCCCCCTGGCTGGCTGGGGTCTCAAATCGCGATCGCTGTGGATTCGCTGGGGGACCCCCCCCTCTGAAATGTAGCACGGCGCCGCCTAGCGTCTATTTGGGAAGTATTGATATCAGCGCCATCTATTGACAGTTTTCGAAAAACTATCTACCTTACCGAGCTGTGGCTCACAACTCAGGATCCCCAACTGACACGGTTATCTCCTTTTTAAAGATTTATAAACCGCATATTGCAAGGAAACAATATCGCGTTTCAGGATAATCTAAATAAAATAATTAAAGATTGTGTACACATTTATTACTTCATAATATTTTCAAAAACACCGACTTTTACTTGTATATCATTCCATTCCCGATTATGTTCATCAAAAAACATTATATAATCGTCAAGACTCTTTCCATGAACTTTAAAAAATATATAAAACAAACAGTACTCCCCACATACTGATGACCAATCGTCTTGCAAAACTCTTTTATTGTAGTTCCACATAGTACAGTTACGGTTCAGGAACAATCTGTGTGAACCTGAAGGTGCTCGGCCGAAAGAGTCAAAGTATTCACCGTGTCTGCTTTTATCTACGTGTATTGCTACCCAATGGGAACCTGGCTGTGTATCTGGGTCCAGATTGCTTATTAAATAAATAGGTAATTCCATATGAATGGGTAATCTGTTCGCGGCAAAAACATTGTTATGTAATACTGGATTTATTTTTGATAAGCAGTCCTGAAGCTGTAAGGTATTCATTTTTAAATTCCGTAGCTCTACAGTTCCGGATTGATCATAAAGTAATGGTGTGATTACGGAAATGCTATCCATTTATATAACATAAATGTAATAATAATAACACAGTTTGCAAACATCAATACTTTATTAAAAGTCTTATTATACTTAATCTAATACATTTGAGTCTTAACTGCTATAGTCTACGATTACATTACGATTTTTATCAATTTCAATTACATTATCAAACTCAGCATATACAATACAATTTATAGTTTCCGAAAGCGAGGATTCAAAACGAACTTCCAATCTCACACTACCATTTCTTATGAGGTTCCAGTGACTGGCGGAACTAGCTGATAAATCAGCAGTTAAATCAAAAGCCAGAAGACAGTAACCTTTAGAATATTGATCTCTAGATATACCATTCCCTTCGTTAAGAAAATGAATACCCGTTCCTGAGAACAGAGTATGATAAGCCGTCGTAAAAATGTTGTTCTCGAACGACGGCTGTAACGCCTTCGAAGGTATTTGCTGGCCATCCACGTATAAACAAAATGAACTGAGGTCGTAGTTTTCAAAATTAAATGGGTTCTTTGTGAGACAGCCGTTAAAAGCTGTGTTATTTACAAAACCAACTATACATCTTTTTGGTACTTGACCTAGAAATATATTATCGAGACTCTTTCCCTGAACTCCTGCTGGTATTGTTAGAACTTTTACTTCTGCTCGGGTTATGGGGTATTTAGCCGTTGTAGTTGACAAGACTTTTTGGTGTGCAAGTAAAACTGTTGGATTTATTCGAGCTCTACGAATAATAAGTGAAGCGTCTGTGATACATATTTTCAATTTTAGATCATTAGAAGCGGCCATTAAATTAAACGTTTCTCTAGATCTGACTAATTTTATTGACATTTCAACTCCATTTATTAAAAACTTTTCTTGATTAAACAAATCACCGTGTAAATGTCCAATCATTTCCACTTCTTTGCTCTCTGATACAAAGGCCTGTCTCTTAACAAAACCCTTGTTATCATTATCAGTTGAATTCATTTTTCCGCAAGTATCTTCATACCAAAGGCCGCATGTTAAATGGGATTCCTTAGCTGCAGGACCATAGTTCAATAAAGTTTCTATATAGGAGCGATACGCATATGTATTGTTTGGGGGTGAGACAAGTTTTTGATTCAAATAAACATCCAATTGATTAAATAGCGAATGCATCCAGTTATTGACAGGAGCCACCATAGTTGATGATATCAATTTGGATAGATCCTGGTTAATAATTTTAGCTTTTATGTGTATCATCGTATGTGATAAATCAATGTAATCGTCCCCAGCGCCTGGTACTTGAAATTCTATCGGCCCATCGTCGGCAAGAGATGAAATTGGTTTATAATGAATCCATATTCCACTTTCAATACTTGTTTGAGTTGAAGGTAAGGCAAATAAATCTAATTCTGACTTTATGCACTCACAAGAATGGCTGTGTAAAAATGACATTTTAAATTATTTTGTAAATATATCTTTCATTTGTAATTTATCGCACTTTAATGGCTTGGAAGCTTTCACTTTAGAAGTTGTTGGTGAAATGACTGCAGATCGCCTTTTTCTCTTTGTTATATAGCCAGAGCCAGACATGTTGATGCGATCGATTTTAGCATCAGCTTTTCTTTTTAAATTAGTTCCCACCTCTTTTAATCTTGTTTTTATAGATTCCTCCATTGGACGAGAACTAACCAAATCAGATAATAAACCGACACCTGCATTTAAGGCCTCTTTGCCAACAACACGAGCTCCACTAGATAGCAATGGCAAGACCGTCCTAAATAATCCTCCTAAAAAGCTTCCAATACCGTGACCGCGCTGATATGGAACACCTTTGTATATGACACCGATTCCTGATCCAGCTTGATGTGAGTAATAATGTTGATATGGACAAAGAAAGTTTTGATTATACATTATTATATTTTTTTAAAATGAAGTTTCACACACACTGTTCCAAACTGAAATGGTATTGCTTGTCCGCTACTTGATCTTATATCTATTTCGATTGTGTCAAACTCTCTTCTCATTACTGGTAAATAATGAGGTGGTGTGAATATATGCATTTTGTTTGCTCCATATATATATTTTGATGGATCAAGCGGTATTACTCTTAATAAAGGAGTCATGACGTCACCAACTATTTGTGGTTCGATAATATCGCAGTAAACAAATAATTGTGGAGGAAGTCCTAAATGCAAATTAGCCGGACATTTTCCTATGCCTTTTTCAACTAAATTTCTGTAGGGTTCATAGCCAAGTTGTAGAGATAATTGAGGCGATAACGATAACCTTTTTATGTTTTCATCTATGATAGTAACATTAACAAGTTTTGACAGGTCATCATATCGAAACCTGATATTTTCTTTGATATTATTTAATGCACTTACAATGTGATTAATGTTGTCATAATTTGTAGCAGGAATGTGTGCTTTGTAATGTACTGTTGAAGATTCAGATTCATTTGGCATCTTTACTATCTTTGTAATATAAACAATATTTTCGTGTTCTTGAACTGTATACATAGTACAAGGATATTGAAACTCGACAATTCCCACATGCCATGTTCCTTCAAGTACTATTGATTTTGGTAATTTAGTTGAAAAGCGAGTAGTTAAATTATCCGGAAAATATTCCTTAGAACTATTACTAAGCAAAGTTAGATAAAAACTTTCTTTCATATTTAAAATGTATTTATCGACGAAGCCAAAATCCAACTATTAAATTTATGTGGATATCCTTTCCACTTGACAAACACTTCTTTTCTGTCCCCTGATCCACGAGAGCGTATTATTTTATCAATTTTAAAACTTAAAGTGGGGTTATATGACACCTTTTGTAATTCTTTCTCATAAAACGTGCCTTCGATTGGTTCGTTTTGTAAATCTCTCAATGTATATACAATCCATGGTGACCGGTGAACTACAGATGACACAACAAATATTTCATCACTCCAATTCGATTCATAACCTTTTGCGAATACATGTTTATATTTAGTTATTCTAACGTAATCACCTATATTAAATTTCGGTACTTTAGCAGTTAATACATCTATTGACTTCCCGTATAAGTTGTCCCAAACAGTTTTAATATTACTAGAGTTAACGTCTCTCGGACACATTTTTATACTGGTGTGATAACTGTTATTATAAGCGTACAATAAATCCTGTAAAATATCAATATATCTGTAGGTGTTCTTGTGGGTAAAGTAACGCCACATTTTTGTTTTTAGTGTCCTTTGAAACCTCTCCACAATACTTGCTTTGATATCGGGGTTGTTTGTTGTATAGTAATTAATATTCCTAGTGTTTAAATATTTGCGTACATACTTTGAAACGAACTCTGTGCCCTTGTCAGATTGTAGATGAGTAGGAGTAGCATTTGCTTCTTCAAATATAGACTCAAAACAATTTTTAATAGTTTCAGAATTTTTATTTTTCATAGGTCTTGCATATGCATACTTAGAAAATACATCAATAATACAAAGTATGTAATTATAGCCATCATTGTGTTTGGAATAAGTTCTCATATCGCTTAAATCTGCTTGCCAAAGTTCATTAAAGTTTGATAAAATATATTTGTTTCGTGGAAATCGTTTTTGTATCGGTTTATGAAGAGTATAAGTTTCTTGAGACTGCAGCCAGCCCTTAACATCAGCTTTTGTCATTTTACCTTTCATTGCTTTTGTTAATGTATCTACACTACTAAATCCTGCTGGGTGAGATGGATCATAATATATTTCATTTATAGAATTTAAATTATTTGTGTTTAGTATGGATTCCATTTCTCCCAGGAAAATTTCTTACGACTTATTTTAGTTGTAGTAGGAGTAGAATATTCCTCGTCGGTTGACAACTCGTCTAAATCTTTTAACGTTAGATTTTTTATGAAATCAATGCGTTGTGCATTTCCCAAATACGTGAGTGGAATTTTTAAGTCTTTCAAAGCAGTCGCAAAGTCCTCCCAACCAATCGGGTTATTATTTTTCAAAGGTCTTAGCAAATCATTAATTAAATCCACAATATTACTACCCGGAATTGTTTTTCCATCTATCATCACTAAACCATTATCTTCATTCCAATTCACTTTGTTCTTACTTAGTGATAATATATTTAAAATTGATTCACCCTTTTTGCAGTAACTTTTTGGAATCAAACTTAAAATTTGACTTTGATTGTAAATAGGATATTTTGTAGGTGCTGTATCCTGTGTTTCTTTCTCCGGTATTTGTAACACTGGAGCAGGATCTTGTGTTTCATCCTTTATATCTACTTTTGTAATATTATCATTTTGAAAAATTACTGGCACTTCAATGGGGCGACGATTTTCTTCATTAAAATGTAAGTATCTTTGAAGAACTTGTAAATACAAAATACATTTTTTTCTATCATCAAGTTTGCTACTTAATATTTTTTTCATTTCTGCATCCAATCGAGAAGTTGGATTGTCTGATGTATTGCAACTATTTATTTTTTCTATTAAATGTGGTTCAATGAGAACCATTCTCTTAGCATGTTCCATCTTGTAATTTATTTTACTATAATTCCAAGCAATGCACTCAAAATAGAACCAAGTATTATCGGTAAAAATGCACCACCTTTTTGAATTATGATATTTTTCCGTACTTTATCCGAGCATTTGCGAACTATCTTACGAAGAACAGATTTATATTTACTTAATTTTTTCTTATCTTTATGCTCAATGGGTATTTTTCCTTGCAACACGTTATAAATACATTCACAAATACAATTTATTTCTTCTTTGTCACAGGATTTTAAAAGTGCTATTCTATACTTTGGTTTTAATTTATGAAGAGCCGAGAGCAAATCTTTATGCGTGCTTAAACTTCGATGCATTATTTGTAAATGACGGGAATTTCCTGGTTCTTAGCATATTTAAACCCCTTCGTTGGCACGTACACATGACAAAACTCATGTGATAAAGAGAATATATTTGTTTTTATTCGACATAAATCAGCGGTATTTTGTTTTAAATCAATCATCAAGTACCCATAAGCTTCTTTAGTGGCATCCCTGTAGGCTTCTTCAATAAACTTAGGATTTTCTGGAGATACCTGACGTGCCAAGTACCTAATCTGTGTTTTATCTCTGGGATTTTTAAAATAGATGATGTAACTTGAGTTCAACGAAATATCTCTTTGTCCTTTTCCTTGATGAAATAAATTTTGCGTAATATAAAAAACACTTAAGTTCCTGTGATGACTTCCTTTGGTGAATATATCTACAATCCTACCATCAGTTTCTCTCATAAGGTCATCTAATATTACTAGATTTGGCTCCCTACCATCAAACATGTTCAAATCTGGAATACCTTGACAGTAATTGACATTTTCTAAGTTATATATCGGTTGCATTTCATCAAAGCACCATGTAATTTGGGCGAAATTTTTATTGCAAAGATGTTTCATATTTTGAATAAAATTTGTAACAAAATTTGTTTTACCGCAACCACTCGGGCCTGCAACTATAGCAGTAAAAGGATGTGTAAAGTGAAACATTTTGCACGACATGCTTAATCAGAAGTTTAAAAGGAAATAAATTAAACTCTTTGTTAGATCTCTATATATTTTTTTATCGTTAACAAATTTATGTCTAAACAATTTACAAACAATCATTACTTATCTATTATTTACAATTCCTTACAACTACTAAATTACAAATTTCATCATAAGACAAACAAGTTTTATTTAGTTTTTGAGTAAAGACGGTACGTTTGATTGATCTAAACCTATCGGAAACCACAACGCTTCTTAAATTAGTGTTTAAATCAATGTATTTTTCAACTTTCAAGGGACTTCGACGAAACTTTAATATCCTATGAATTTTGATTAGTTTAATACCCATTTTTAAATATTGTTTTAAATTTCTGTAATGAATAATGTTCATGTCAAAATTTTCTAAATATTTATTATTAGATTTAGCATATCTGTTGCTGCACTGAGATATGCCACCTCTTATTTTATCACCGCTTTAATAAAAGCGATTTGATCAATATCAGTTAACAATTCCAGTTGTTGTTGAAAACTGTTTTTTTACAAGAATCCAACGATGATATTTCCTTACTTATGTTATATATAACTTGTTTTACCGTATTTAAATGAGAGCTTGTATCTTTGGCATAATATTTAGTCCTTATTTTAGCATGTTTCCATTGCTGATTTTTAGGTATATTTGATATTGCTTTCAAGTCATACAATTCGATTTTAAGTAAGTAAGTGGCTGTTAATATATCATTTTGATTCGTTGTTATAAATGCAACACATCCATTAGGTTGAGCCCGTGAAACCGATGAACACTCTGTTGGCTTTTTCTTACTTGGGCTCGAAAAATTGAAAATTTCATCAAAATTTTCATCTTGGGTAGATTTTCTTTTCACAGCTTTCCTCTCGATTATTAATTCGTTACTAGTTTCATCATCAGATAGTAGCATGGGGTAATAATATTGCTTGAAAGTGTTTTCTTCGAGATTAGAAGGCTAGAAAAAACTTTAAAATTAGTTTCAAATATTAGCAAAACAATTAAAGAACTTTATTAACTTTTTAAGGAATACGAGTGAAACTTACCTCCATTTCTTCCTATCCAAAATTATTTAAAACAGAAACCTTATTCACACACGAAATATTTCAACTGTTTTCTAAAGAGCTCCTGCCTTCTTATATATCCCAAGGAATAAAAGATGTCTCGTTAGTTTATCAAACAAATAACATTAATGACAAGTAAGTGTAATTACTTATTTATTTGCTTTTATTTTTGGGACAATTACCAAAACGATGTATAGTTGGTTTTGTAAATAACACAGCTTTTAACGGCTGTCTCACAAAGAACCCATTTAATTTTGAAAACTACGACCTCAGTTCATTTTGTTTATACGTGGATGGCCAGCAAATACCTTCGAAGGCGTTACAGCCGTCGTTCGAGAACAACATTTTTACGACGGCTTATCATACTCTGTTCTCAGGAACGGGTATTCATTTTCTTAACGAAGGGAATGGTATATCTAGAGATCAATATTCTAAAGGTTACTGTCTTCTGGCTTTTGATTTAACTGCTGATTTATCAGCTAGTTCCGCCAGTCACTGGAACCTCATAAGAAATGGTAGTGTGAGATTGGAAGTTCGTTTTGAATCCTCGCTTTCGGAAACTATAAATTGTATTGTATATGCTGAGTTTGATAATGTAATTGAAATTGATAAAAATCGTAATGTAATCGTAGACTATAGCAGTTAAGACTCAAATGTATTAGATTAAGTATAATAAGACTTTTAATAAAGTATTGATGTTTGCAAACTGTGTTATTATTATTACATTTATGTTATATAAATGGATAGCATTTCCGTAATCACACCATTACTTTATGATCAATCCGGAACTGTAGAGCTACGGAATTTAAAAATGAATACCTTACAGCTTCAGGACTGCTTATCAAAAATAAATCCAGTATTACATAACAA